ATAGAGACCCTGATCATATTTCATTCCCCTTATTGGGCATTGTGGCACAAACCAAAGGCTTGTTTTTAAAAGCAGGAGTTTATTTCTGTGATGTAACTAAATAAACATATGTGTCTGAGGAGGCCTCTTCATTGTCACCTATCATTTCCCATTGATTCATAGCCATACGCATTATTTGCAATATTAGTCTTTTTTTTCCTTCTGGCCTCATAGTTACCACAAAGGCCTTTAAGAAGAAATGTTCCCTTATGAGTTGTATTGTCTGCGAAATTGATGAGTCCTTTTTCTAGCAGTCACGACCAAGGCACGCTGCCAGAAGCTGGGCTTTGGCTTCAGTGCAGTGAACATCCTTTCTTTCCAATTCCTTTGTGGTTTACCAACTTGAGCTCAGCTCACCAAAGCCATCTGGGTGTCCTGCTGTCAACTGCTGTGTACATGTTGAGAATTGAGCAACATTGTGCTGGTAGGCAAAAATAAAGGGAAGTAGAAAATTGCCTCAGATGACTCAGACAGCAGGATGAAAAGACAAATTTAGGTTAAAGGCCAAATAAGTAAAAGACCAGATGGAAATGAATGCAGACGTATCACAAGCCCTGTAGTAGTACTTAAATTGATCGGCACATTTCCCAAAGAACCCAGCAAAGGGAAAACTGGCGTGTGTATGGTATTACCTAGGGGAGGGAGTTTCTGACTATTCCAATTTATTCGTTCTAATTAGACATGGCATTTGTTAAGTCACTATCATGCCAAGCATTGAAGATTAAGGTTGATAAGACAGTCGTCACAACCACTAAAATGCCTGCAATTTTATATCTAGTGCTAACATAAATACAGAGATAATCATAGACTACTATAGAAGGTATAGAAGAAGGAGAAGGTTTAACAGAAATTTGGGAGATGGAAAGGTCCGGAAGGATTTCTGAGATGAATCTCGAAGGAGCAGTGCTAGCCCAATCAAATTGTGGTCATGGGTCTGCAGGTGGCTCTCCACAGAGCGGCTATTGTTAGCACAATGAAGGCTTAGTGATATGACTCGGTGTTGGGTGTTTGAGGAACCATAAGCAGATGGAAAGTGCTGAAGATGAGGTTGTGAGAAAGACATGAGCGCCTTGTGAGTCATCAGCTAGCTGAAATTCATTTGCTAATTCATCCAGTAGTGTCAACTCCTGGCTGAGTTCTTAATAAATATTTGTTGAATTAACATCCACTGTTAGCGCTAAGGGAAGAGAGCACAGAAGTCTAAGCAGTCCACCATTAAGGAGACATAGAGCACACACCTGAATAATTAAAACCAAGGTGCTGTAGGCTTAGGTACCAATTGGTGGTATGGAGAGTTAGCTGTGGTGGGCCCTTAGAGGAGGAAGAGAATTCTGGGCTAATGAGTTTAGGAAAGACTTCATGGAGGAGATAGGACTCCAGCTTACTCTTATTTGGTGGAGGTAACTGGATGGAGAGGAGGGGAGGAGGGGAGGAGGGGAGGAGGGGAGAGGAAAGGAGGCATGCTGCAAAAGAAGTCCTAAGGCATGTTGCAGCATGGGGAATAAGCTCCTATGTTGTATTTCTTTTTATTTATTGATTCTAACATTATTTACAGTGCTATTTCCCATGTGAACTAATATGAGTGTAACAAGGTTCCTTCATTATCCAGATTTATTCTCTTCTTGAGTTCAAATGATGAGTTGATGGCTGATGTTTTTCTGACTGCAGTGGATTTTGTTTAGGAGTTTCAGAGAACATGCAGCAAAGCTTCAGATAGTGACAATTCTATGCAAAGATTTATCCAAATCTATTCTGGTTTGGTGTTTGGATATCAAAGAGGTTGCATAGCCAGGGATCCCTATATTTGTATTTCTTCCTGTGTGAATGGCTGATTCACATCTGTTGCCATCAAGATTATGAACATAATCTAATCTTACTTTATTGTCAGTAGGTTGTCAAACCAAAAGTGCTTGAAAATTGGATACTTGCTGGGTGTGTAGTAAGTCATGTTTAAATACCACATAAAATGCACGTGTTTAGAAGTGTATTAGCAGAAAGTAATGAATACCTGATTAGAAAACCATTTGATACTGTATATACTAATTAGATATGACTTATTCTTTTGTTCTTAATGATCCATTTATGGAACTGTTTTTTCATCTGATTCTATTGTAGACAGCTATGAATATCTCCAAAATGCACCTCCTGGATTTTTTCCAAGACTTGGTGTTATTGGTTTTGCTGGCCTTGTTGGACTTCTTTTGGCTAGAGGTAGGTGAAATTTTGTGCAGTTTTTTGAACAAGCAGTTCATTATGGGAGAGTTTGGTTCTTTCCTTTCATTTGCCAGTTTTCAGAGTGAGTTGGTTCCTGAATATGGCATTCTTAATATATAATTGATATGGTGGTTTATTCTAGTATATTTAATTCTAAGCTTATATCGAAATTGTGTACTCTTGGTTAAAAAAGAAATTAGTTATCCTTTGCAGACAGATTTACTTGATCAAATCTCTGGTGTTCTTTGGTACATAAAGGGTGAACTTTTGTTCATAGTCTTTCACAACTGAGAAATAAACTGTTTCAGAATTTCACTATTAAGGTCAGGCATTAATCACAGTAAATAGAATAGTGTTTGACTAGAGATTGTATTAATTTCTTACTGTGTCATGGTTTTAGTCAGTGATGATGTAAAAATTTTAAAAATGCTTAAAAATAAAAGCTGAAAAATATCAACTTAAAAATATGAGTATTACTACACTACATTGCTAGATTACAGAATATTTTAAGAAAGGATAATAAAATATTCTACTCTGATAAGAATAATTTGTTATGTACAGCTTGAAGTTTCACTGGTTGTAAAATAAATGATGTTACAAAAATTCCTGTAGAGAAAGAGCCCTATGATCATACCCCCATTAAAGAGAACCAAAGAGACCAGCTTCATCCCTAATTCTCCAGTTTTAAAAATCTTCCTTTTGGGGTCTGCGCCATGGCTCACTTGGTTAATCCTCTGCCTGCGGTGCCAGCATTCCATATGGGCGCCGGGTTCTAGTCCCGGTTGCTCCTCTTCGAGTCCAGCTCTCTGCTGTGGCCCAGGAAGGCAGTGGAGGATGGCCCAGGTGCTTGTGCCCTGCACCCACACGGAAGACCAGGAAGAAGCTCCTGGCTCCTGGCTTCGGATCGGCATAGCTCTGGCCGTAGCAGCCATTTGGGGGGTGAACCAGCGGAAGGAAGACCTTTCTGTCTTTCTCTCTCTCACTGTCTAACTCTGTCAAATAAACGAAAAATCTTTTTTACATGCATTAACTGGTATTTTATTTTAATATTTTTATTTGTTAATTTTTATTTAAAGAGAAGCAGAGACATAGATCTTTCGCCTGCTGGTTCACTCCCCCAAATTTCCACAACAGCCAGGGCTGGGCTGGGCTGAAGCTGGGAACTCAATCCAGGTCTCCACCTGGGTGGCAGGGGCCCAAGTACTAGAGCCAGCACCTGCTCCTTCCTAGGGTACTCATTACCAGGAAATGGAACCAGAAGCACAGCTGGGACTCGAACTCAGGCACTCTATGTGGGATGGGGACACCCCAAGCTGCATCTTCACCACTGCGCCAAACACCAGCCCCATAACTGGTGTTTTAAGATCTGGAGGATAAACTCTGAGTTCACCACCATGCCCTCCTCCTGTCTTGCATAGAATATTTAAGGATTAAATTTCTAGTTCATTTTTATTAATTACCTTGTGAACCAACATTCTTTCGTAGACTTCTTTCCCCTCTCTGCTAGCAAAGCTGTTCAGAAAAGCATGACAGTTGGAATTTGGTTATTGTTAGGGAGATGGGAATGTAGCATCTAGTGAAATTCCCCTCCTTGCCCATGGTGAGGGCATGTGGAAGAGTTGCACAGGCGCAAAGCAAGCTCTCTGTGCTATGGGTACGGTGTCAAGTGTTGGATCCCTGCGCAGGCACTAGGAGGTTTGGGGGCCATGCTCTCCTGGGTAGAATGGCAGCATGGGGATGCCCCTATTGTGGCTCCTATTCCTGTTGCTTGTTTATTTGTATGTGTTTGTTTCTGTTTCTTTTTCCTTTTCCTGGGAGGGCTTGGTAGTGTTAAAATAACTTGACATCTTAACTAAAGTATGCATATACTGTCATATGCACAACCACAACAGCAGATCTTTTTCCATGGCTGCTAGAGATGTGAGGGCACTTCAGAAAGTTCATGGGAGTCTGGCACTTTGGCATACGGTGTTAAGCTGCTGCCTGCGATGCCAGCATCCCACATGGGCACTGGTTTGAGTCCCAGCTATTCTACTTCCAGTCTAGCTCCCTGCTCATGTGCCTGGGAAAGCAGCAGAAGATGACACAAGTACTGTGGGCCCCTGTGGGCAGCCTCATGGGAAACCCAGAAGAAGCTCCTGGCTCCTGGCTTTGGATCGGCCTAGCTCTGGCCATTACGGCCATTTGTAGAGTAAACCAACTGATCGAAGAGCTTTCAGTCTCTATAATTCTGCCTTTCAGATGAACAAGAAAATCTTTTAAAAAGTAAAGTTCATGGGAAATGTGTTTTTTTTTTAAAGATTTATTTATTTACTTGAAAGTCAGAGTTACACAGAGAGAGAAGGAGAGGCAGAGAGAGAAAGAGAAAGAGAGAGAGAGAGGTCTTCCATCTGCTGGTTCACTCCCCAGATGGCCACAATGGCTGGAGCTGCACCAATCCAAAGTCAGGAGCCAGGAGCTTCTTCCAGGTCTCCCACACAGGTGCAGGGACCCAAGGACTTGGGCCATCTTCTACTGCTTTCCAAGACCATAGCAGAGAGCTGAATTGGAAGTGGAGTAGCTGGGACTCAAACCTGTGCCCACATGGGATACCGGCACTACAGGCAGTGGCTTTACCTGCTATGCCACAGCCCCAGCCCCGGAAATGCATAATGTGAAAAAGCTAGGTATGGATTTCAAAATTTTTGGCACTGAAAAACATTTATCTTTTAATTTCATTTTCCACAAACTTTTTTTTTTATATATACAAATGTATTCCGCAATTCAGTCTGGGTTGCCACAAAGACAGAGAAAGTACAGGGATTTTTCTTTAGCATCCTGGTGCAAACCAAAATAACAACAACAAACTGTTCAAGGTGTAATACAGAAGGGCCTGAATGCAGAGATTCAGAGGGCTTTGTGGATCAAGAGGAGTGGATCGAATGTGTGTTTATGGGTGGCCAGAGTGGATTGCAGGTGCCTCCAGGTAGATGGAGCAGGTGGTGGCAGCAGTCCTGTGAGCTCCTGGTCGGTTTTCTTGATTGTGTCTGGTAAGGTAGTCTCAGTTGATGAGGATGTCCATGATCATGGTGGTGACAAGAGACTCCCAGAGAAGTGAGCGGATGATCATTCAAAGGAAGTGGGTTCAGCTGGACCACTGAAGGTTGGCAGGTGGCTGTTGCCACTGTTGCCTTCCAATGACTTCCCCTAGCAGTGCAGCCAGCCAGTTACCTCTGGCAATGCTGGTGGCTACAGCTCACAGCACTGGCTTCTTGGGAGGTGTGGGGCAGGTAGATGTGGATAGGGAGTGTATGATCTCATCTCTTACTTGAAGTTGTGGAGTCCCCAACTCACTATGTGAACCAACAGGAGCTGGAGGCCCAAGAGTTAACACTCATCAGCTTTGACTAGAGGAGCAAAACATGACTGGATGGAGGTTTGCTGCTCCGTACCTGGTCCCCACTGTGTGAGCTGCCCAGGTACTTACAGCTTCATGTGGATAGGGGCATCCCAGGGATGTAAAAGGCTTTTCTCTTCTAGGTTAATTAATTATACCTTTTCAATCCAGGCATAGAACCAGAACAGAAACATTATTAGTCTAGGTTGATAGCATTTGTATTCTCTTCTATAACCCCAGTTCCATACTTTAATATTTGTCTGTTTAAAGTTTAAAGCCAAAAAACAGTGCCCATATGATTAGAACTGTGCAATTTTTTTAAGATTTTATTTATTTATTTGGCTGGTAGAGTTACAGACAGTGAGAGAGAGAGACAGAGAGAAAGGTCTTCCTTCTGTTGGTTCACTCCCCAAATGGCCGCCACAGCCGGCGCTGCACCGGTCCGAAGCCAGGAGCTTCTTCCTGGTCTCCCATGCGGGTGCAGGGGCCCAAGCACTTGGGCCATCCTCCACTGCCCTCCCGGGCCACAGCAGAGAGCTGGACTGGAAGAGGAGCAACCAGGACTAGAACCGGCGCCCATATGGGATGCCGGCACCACAGGTGGAGGATTAACATAGTGCACCACAGCACTGGCCCAGAACTGTGGAGATATTATGAACATATGCTGTGCTGGCATTTTTATGGGTCCCGTGTCAAAAAGAGTGTGCCTTTTACTGACTTTTTTCACAAAGAAACCTTTTATTTAATAAGTATAAATTTCATAAGTACAACTTTAGGAATATAGTAATTCTTCCCACCATACCTGCCCTCCCACCCCACCTCCTCCTCCCTCTCCCATTCCCAGCCCTTTTCTCCATTAAGATTCATTTTCAGTTAACTTTATATGCAGAAGACCAACTCTATACTAAGAAAAGATTTCAACAATTTGCACACACATACACACATACAAAATATAAAAAACTGAGAACAAGTTTTACAGTTAATTTTCACAGTACAACTCAAGGAGGACAGAGGTCCTACATGGGGATTAAGTGCACAGTGACTCCTGTTGTTAATTGAACAATGAACACTCTTATGTATGACGTCAGTAATCACCTGAGGCTCTTGACAAGAGCTGCCAAGGCTATGGAAGTCTCTTGAGTCCACAATCTCCGTCAGTATTTAGACAAGGCCATAATCAAAGTAGAAGTTCTCTCCTCCCTTCAGAGATAGGTACCTCCTTTTTTGATGGCCCCTTCTTTCCACTGGGGTCTCACTCACAGAGATCCTTCATGCAGGACGTTTTTTTTGCCACAGTGCCTTGGCTTTCCATGCCTGAAATGCTTTCATGGGCTTTTCAGCCAGACCAAGATGCCTTAAGGGTTGATTCTGAAGTCAGAATGCTACTTAAAATAATTGTCATTCTGAGTCTGCTGTGTGGACTGCTTCCCATGTTGTAACATTCTCTCCTTTTTAGTTCTTTATTGTTATTACCAGACATTTATCTTATTTATATGATCCTTTTACCACATAATCCTATCTATATGGTCAATTTAACACTTAAGATGGCATTATTATCACCCTTTACTGACTCTTACTTCCAATGTCAGCTCCGTATGTCTCTTCCTGTTTCACCAGCTATCCATTTTCTTAACCTCACTGTCAGGTTTCTGTAAGCTCTGCACGCTGCTATCTGTTTGTTCCAGTCCCCTTTCTCCTACAGCCTCCAGCCTCCGACCTTCTAGCTTGAGACTTCAACATAGCCGGTGATTTGGGACTTCTTTCTACTTCTTGGGTTTGAGCCCCTTTTCCTGGTTTCCACATTACCTTCCCCTTGGTTTACTCTGCCAAGCTGTTGGACTACATGCTTAAGTCACTTTGAGAAAAGCACATGTGGAGGTAAACTTGTCAAGACCTTGCATGTGTGAAAATGACTTTCTCCCTTCATATCAAGTGTTAGTTTGGTTGAGCATAGAATTTGTTTTTCATGAAAACTCTGGAGGCCATGTTTTCTAGCATCCAGTGTTGCAGATGGGAATAGATAGCCAGTCTGAATGTTTGCTTCTTCCTGGAAGCCTTGAGAATCTTCTCTTAATCTTTACTATTCTGAATTTCCATGATGCTGTGAATGGATGCAGATGTTTTCATTCCTTGGTTGGACATTCTGCTGGCTTGCAGCCCTCTGCTGAGAAGGAAGATAATTTATCCTTGTGTCTTTGAAAGTTTGCTCTCATTCTTTTTGTTTTCGAAACTCACATTAATTAGTAGTTGGGTCATTTAAAATGACCCTATTTGTCTCTTTTTCTTGATTATTTTATTTTGTTCTATTCAACTTTTTACTTTGCTCACTTCCAAGCTCATTCTTGTTCTCTGAATGTTCTTTTTCCATAGACTTCTTTTTTTCTTTTAATGTAGCAGTTTTTTGAATTTATTTAATGATACTTAATGACAGGTTTAGCTTTGTTTTGAAGTTCTCTTTCCTGTGGGGTCACTTTTTAATTCTTGCTTGTCTTGGTCTTCTCTTTTATCTTGCACATTTTCCTCAAATTGACTGGTGATCCTTGGCTGTCTGGTCATGTTTCAGAATGGAGCAATTGAAATGCTAGGAAGAACTCTTTGTGCATGGGGAGGGGTGGGGTTTTGCTGATAGGCAGGTTCTCTTCCCCTTGGTGAGCTGGATGGGACTTGACCTTATATGGGAGTGCCGGTGCTCAGTGCTAATGTAAGGAGGGCTTTATGTGTAGGCACTGACACAAATGCTATCTCTTGCTCAGCCATCTATTTGGTTCTCAGCAGAAATTCTGTGGTGTTTCTTTAGTGATACCCTCTCCCTTTTTGAGAATTTGGCCATGGGGCAGGCATTTGGCACAGTGGTTAAGACATTACTCCAGATGCTGACATCTCAAGTCAGAGTGCTTGAGTTTGAGTTCTGGCTCTGCTTCTCATTCCAGCTTCCTGCTGATGTACACCCTGGGAGGCAGCAGATGGTGGCTCAAGTACTTGGGTTCCTGTCAACCACATAGGAGACTTAGGTGGAGTTCTGGGGTCATGGCTTTGGTTTGGTCCAGCTCTAGCAGTTGCAGACATTTAGTGAGTGAACTAGCAGTTGGAAGATATTTGTGTGTGTCTACCTTTGAAATACATACAAATTAAAAGTAAATAAATAAATTTTGTCTTGATGTGACTCCCTGGCTATGGATGGTGTGGGAGAAGGAACGGGTCAACTGGTCCATGCACAGTGCTTGCAGTTGTCCCCTGTCTTGATCCCTGGTTGCCAGGTCTGCTCCCTAAAATACCCACCATCCCTGCCTGGTGGGGTAGATCTGTTCTTTCCCCACCCCCCTCAAAGATTTATTTATTTATTTACTTGAAAGGCAGAGTAACAGAGAGGTGGGGGGGGGTCTTCCATCCAATGGTTCACTCCCCAGATGGCCACAATGGCCAGAGCTGAGCTGACCCAAAGCCAGGATTCAGGAGCTTCTTCCAGATCTCCCACGTGGGTGCAGGGGCCCAAGGACTTGGGCCATCTTCTACTGCTTTCCCAGGCCACAGCAGAGAGCTGATCAGAAGTGGAGCAGCTGAGACTTGAACCGGCGCCCATGTGGGATGCCAGCACTGCAGGCGGCTGCTTTACTGGCTACACCACAGTGCCAGCCCTTAGATCTGTTCTTTATTTGGCTGCAATCTCCTGAAGACTTCAAGGCTTTTTTTCTGTTTGTGCTCCATTTTGTGAAAATTCTTGAATACTTCCTACCTGCCAATGGCTTCTCCACACATTTACCCTTCGTTGTGGGTTTATTCATCTGTACTATTTTCTGTTACGGTTTTTTTAATGGAGTCTCAGGAAGGAGAAAGACAGGAACTCTTGTGTTTAGTATTTAAATAGGAAACCAGTTTGCCATCAAAGAATATAAACTGGAGAAACCAAAATACTGGTTTGTTTGTTTATTTTCAAAACAGTCTTTTTTTCTGCTTCCTTAGACGGGGTAGTTGTGTTGAAAACATTGCTGAGTGAAGGAAGCCAGTCACAAAGGACCATATGTTATATGATTCCTTTTATACAAAAGATCCAAAGTAGGCAAATCTGTAAGGATAAAAAGTAGATTAGTGGTTGCCTAGGGCAGGGGCTGGGCAGGGGTATTGGGCAGTGACTGCCAGTGGACCCCGGTTCTTTTAAGGATGATTAAAATGTTCTAAAAGTGACAGTGCTGATGGTTGCACCACTCTGAATGTACTGAAAGCCACTGTATACTTTAGATGAGTGAATTGTGTGAGTTCTCTCTCAATAAGTCTATAAAATGTTGTGGTTCTTTTTGGTATAATAGTATTATTAGGTACCTTCTCTCAATCTAGGACCAAAGAAATGTTACTCAGTATTAAACGTGTGCGGTAAATTGTGGTCATAAGGCCGATGAATCATCTAATGATGTTTCCGACCTTTGATTTGTTAGGTTCAAAAATAAAGAAGCTGGTGTATCCTCCTGGTTTCATGGGATTAGCTGCCTCTATCTATTACCCA